TGTTCATTATCAGTAAGCCATACTGACTGTTCATTATCAGTAAGCCATACTGACTGTTCATTATCAGTAAGCCATACTGACTGTTCATTATCAGTAAGCCATACTGACTGCTCACTATCAGTAAGCCATACTGACTGTTCATTATCAGTAAGCCATACTGACTGTTCATTATCAGTAAGCCATACTGACTGTTCATTATCAGTAAGCCATACTGACTGCTCACTATCAGTAAGCCATACTGACTGTTCATTATCAGTAAGCCATACTAACTGTTCACTATCAGTAAGCCATACTGACTGTTCATTATCAGTAAGCCATACTGACTGCTCACTATCAGTAAGCCATACTGACTGTTCATTATCAGTAAGCCATACTGACTGCTCACTATCAGTAAGCCATACTGACTGTTCACTATCAGTAAGCCATACTGACTGTTCACTATCAGTAAGCCATACTGACTGTTCATTATCAGTAAGCCATACTGACTGCTCACTATCAGTAAGCCATACTGACTGTTCACTATCAATAAGCCATACTGACTGCTCACTATCAGTAAGCCATACTGACTGTTCACTATCAGTAAGCCATACTGACTGCTCACTATCAGTAAGCCATACTGACTGTTCACTATCAGTAAGCCATACTGACTGTTCACTATCAGTAAGCCATACTGACTGCTCACTATCAGTAAGCCATACTGACTGTTCACTATCAGTAAGCCATACTGACTGTTCACTATCAGTAAGCCATACTGACTGTTCACTATCAGTAAGCCATACTGACTGCTCACTATCAGTAAGCCATACTGACTGTTCACTATCAGTAAGCCATACTGACTGTTCACTATCAGTAAGCCATACTGACTGTTCACTATCAGTAAGCCATACTGACTGTTCACTATCAGTAAGCCATACTGACTGCTCACTATCAGTAAGCCATACTGACTGTTCACTATCAGTAAGCCATACTGACTGTTCACTATCAGTAAGCCATACTGACTGCTCACTATCAGTAAGCCATACTGACTGTTCACTATCAGTAAGCCATACTGACTGCTCACTATCAGTAAGCCATACTGACTGTTCACTATCAGTAAGCCATACTGACTGCTCACTATCAGTAAGCCATACTGACTGTTCACTATCAGTAAGCCATACTGACTGTTCACTATCAGTAAGCCATACTGACTGCTCACTATCAGTAAGCCATACTGACTGTTCACTATCAGTAAGCCATACTGACTGCTCACTATCAGTAAGCCATACTGACTGTTCACTATCAGTAAGCCATACTGACTGCTCACTATCAGTAAGCCATACTGACTGTTCACTATCAGTAAGCCATACTGACTGCTCACTATCAGTAAGCCATACTGACTGTTCACTATCAGTAAGCCATACTGACTGTTCACTATCAGTAAGCCATACTGACTGTTCACTATCAGTAAGCCATACTGACTGCTCACTATCAGTAAGCCATACTGACTGTTCACTATCAGTAAGCCATACTGACTGTTCACTATCAGTAAGCCATACTGACTGTTCACTATCAGTAAGCCATACTGACTGTTCACTATCAGTAAGCCATACTGACTGCTCACTATCAGTAAGCCATACTGACTGTTCTCTATCAGTAAGCCATACTGACTGTTCACTATCAGTAAGCCATACTGACTGCTCACTATCAGTAAGCCATACTGACTGTTCACTATCAGTAAGCCATACTGACTGCTCACTATCAGTAAGCCATACTGACTGTTCACTATCAGTAAGCCATACTGACTGTTCACTATCAGTAAGCCATACTGACTGCTCACTATCAGTAAGCCATACTGACTGCTCACTATCAGTAAGCCATACTGACTGCTCACTATCAGTAAGCCATACTGACTGTTCACTATCAGTAAGCCATACTGACTGCTCACTATCAGTAAGCCATACTGACTGCTCACTATCAGTAAGCCATACTGACTGTTCACTATCAGTAAGCCATACTGACTGCTCACTATCAGTAAGCCATACTGACTGCTCACTATCAGTAAGCCATACTGACTGCTCACTATCAGTAAGCCATACTGACTGCTCACTATCAGTAAGCCATACTGACTGCTCACTATCAGTAAGCCATACTGACTGCTCACTATCAGTAAGCCATACTGACTGCTCACTATCAGTAAGCCATACTGACTGCTCACTATCAGTAAGCCATACTGACTGTTCACTATCAGTAAGCCATACTGACTGCTCACTATCAGTAAGCCATACTGACTGTTCACTATCAGTAAGCCATACTGACTGCTCACTATCAGTAAGCCATACTGACTGCTCACTATCAGTAAGCCATACTGACTGCTCACTATCAGTAAGCCATACTGACTGCTCACTATCAGTAAGCCATACTGACTGCTCACTATCAGTAAGCCATACTGACTGCTCACTATCAGTAAGCCATACTGACTGCTCACTATCAGTAAGCCATACTGACTGCTCACTATCAGTAAGCCATACTGACTGCTCACTATCAGTAAGCCATACTGACTGCTCATTATCAGTAAGCCTTACTGACTGCTCACTATCAGTAAGCCATACTGACTGCTCATTATCAGTAAGCCATACTGACTGCTCATTATCAGTAAGCCATACTGACTGTTCACTATCAATAAGCCATACTGACTTCACTATCAATAAGCCATAGTGACTGTTCACTATCAATAAGCCATACTGACTGTTCACTATCAATAAGCCATACTAACTGTTCACTATCAGTAAGCCATACTGACTGTTCACTATCAATAAGCCATACTAACTGTTCACTATCAGTAAGCCATACTGACTGTTCACTATCAATAAGCCATACTGACTGCTCACTATCAGTAAGCTATACTGACTGTTCACTATCAATAAGCCATACTGACTGCTCACTATCAGTAAGCCATACTGACTGTTCACTATCAGTAAGCCATACTGACTGTTTCACTATCAATAAGCCATACTGACTGCTCACTATCAGTAAGCCATACTGACTGCTCACTATCAGTAAGCCATACTGACTGTTCACTATCAATAAGCCATACTGACTGTTCACTATCAGTAAGCCATACTGACTGTTCACTATCAGTAAGCCATACTGACTGTTCACTATCAATAAGCCATACTGACTGCTCACTATCAGTAAGCCATACTGACTGCTCACTATCAGTAAGCCATACTGACTGTTCACTATCAATAAGCCATACTGACTGTTCACTATCAGTAAGCCATACTGACTGTTCACTATCAGTAAGCCATACTGACTGTTCACTATCAATAAGCCATACTGACTGTTCACTATCAGTAAGCCATACTGACTGTTCACTATCAGTAAGCCATACTGACTGTTCACTATCAATAAGCCATACTGACTGTTCACTATCAATAAGCCATACTGACTGTTCACTATCAGTAAGCCATACTGACTGTTCACTATCAATAAGCCATACTGACTGCTCACTATCAGTAAGCCATACTGACTGCTCACTATCAGTAAGCCATACTGACTGCTCACTATCAGTAAGCCATACTGACTGCTCACTATCAATAAGCCATACTGACTGCTCACTATCAGTAAGCCATACTGACTGTTCACTATCAATAAGCCATACTGACTGCTCACTATCAGTAAGCCATACTGACTGCTCACTATCAGTAAGCCATACTGACTGTTCACTATCAATAAGCCATACTGACTGTTCACTATCAGTAAGCCATACTGACCGCTCACTATCAATAAGCCATACTGACTGTTCACTATCAGTAAGCCATACTGACTGCTCACTATCAATAAGCCATACTGACTGCTCACTATCAGTAAGCCATACTGACTGTTCACTATCAGTAAGCCATACTGACTGTTCACTATCAATAAGCCATACTGACTGTTCACTATCAGTAAGCCATACTGACTGTTCACTATCAGTAAGCCATACTGACTGTTCACTATCAATAAGCCATACTGACTGTTCACTATCAGTAAGCCATACTGACTGTTCACTATCAGTAAGCCATACTGACTGTTCACTATCAGTAAGCCATACTGACTGTTCACTATCAATAAGCCATACTGACTGTTCACTATCAGTAAGCCATACTGACTGTTCACTATCAGTAAGCCATACTGACTGTTCACTATCAATAAGCCATACTGACTGTTCACTATCAGTAAGCCATACTGACTGTTCACTATCAATAAGCCATACTGACTGTTCACTATCAGTAAGCCATACTGACTGTTCACTATCAATAAGCCATACTGACTGTTCACTATCAATAAGCCATACTGACTGTTCACTATCAATAAGCCATACTGACTGTTCACTATCAGTAAGCCATACTGACTGTTCACTATCAATAAGCCATACTGACTGTTCACTATCAATAAGCCATACTGACTGTTCACTATCAATAAGCCATACTGACTGTTCACTATCAATAAGCCATACTGACTGTTCACTATCAGTAAGCCATACTGACTGTTCACTATCAATAAGCCATACTGACTGTTCACTATCAGTAAGCCATACTGACCGCTCACTATCAATAAGCCATACTGACTGTTCACTATCAATAAGCCATACTGACTGTTCACTATCAATAAGCCATACTGACTGTTCACTATCAATAAGCCATACTGACTGTTCACTATCAATAAGCCATACTGACTGTTCACTATCAGTAAGCCATACTGACTGTTCACTATCAATAAGCCATACTGACTGTTCACTATCAGTAAGCCATACTGACTGTTCACTATCAATAAGCCATACTGACTGTTCACTATCAATAAGCCATACTGACTGTTCACTATCAGTAAGCCATACTGACCGCTCACTATCAATAAGCCATCTGACCGCACGTTACAAACTCCCTTATATGTTACAATGATAAGCACACATTATTTTTTTCCGAAGACAATAAACTGTCAGAGCAATAATAGTTAATGCAATCTTCCCTCTTTACTTACAGACACATAGGAAGACTGCCGTGTTGACCTGGGCGCTGGTACTTACGATGGGTATTGTAGTAGCGGCGCCCTCTGAACCTGATCACCTTCACCTGGATGTTGCAGAGCTACCAGGAAAACTGACCCCAGACGCAGGAAAACTACAGGGAAAGCTGCTCCTAGACGAAAGAAAACCAGAGCTGCACCAGGACGTAGGGAAACCACAAGCAAGGCTGCCTCAAGATGCAGGAAAACTACAAGGAACTTTCCAAGGCGCTGAAACACATCTTACCAGCCAGAGAGATGAGAAAAGTCAGGTCACTTGTTACCAGTTTTTTAGACTAATCTCTAGTCACGAGTTGTTTAATGCCTTCTTACTATAAAAAAGTATTAGTTTAAGCAGTGTTTCGCCCGTATTGTCACCAAGATACCACCTCAGTGTTATAACCAAATTTGTTGCTAAGTTTGATGTGTTTTGTCTCCCTTCCTAAAAATGATCATGTTTGCATTGCAGTGTTTTTCGTGCTGTTGACGATCCAACAGGTGACTTGCAACACCACTGACTCTACACTGACGGTGGGCACCTGTTTGTCCTCCACAGACTGCAACCGCAGCGGTGGTAGATCTTCAGGGACCTGCGCCAGGGGCTTCGGTGTCTGCTGCATAGGTCAGTTCTACCTTCACAAGCTTGGTCCTCACAATAATAGATCTGTTCCTCCACTGGTTGTTCCTTGCATCCATTCATTTGAAGATTAAGACACACGTGCAACAACTGGGTATCTTTAGTGATGAAACGTTTCGCCTACACAGTAGGCTTCTTCAGTAGTAATGAAATAAAGATGATGTCATCAGTCCATCAACTATGGAAATAAAGTATTTGAGGTGGTCAGTCCCTCAGCCTTCATGGTCTGGAACGATATCAATACACATATTTGCTTGGACAAGTATATCTGTGTTTACTGACGTGTGTGTGTGTGTGTGTGTCAACAGCTCGTCACAGCTGTGGGGAGACCACCAGCTATAACAACACATACTTCGTCAACCCCAACTTCAACAGTACTGACTCAGGGACAGGAGCCTGCACTCTCACTGTCAACCGCGTCAACACCAGCATCTGTCAGCTCCGTTTAGACTTCCTTGATTTCCAGTTGGCGCAGCCGGACGTTGACGGTAACTGTAATGTTGACTTCCTCACCGTCAGCCCGTCCTCCACAGTGCCAAGAATCTGTGGCTCCAACAGTGGACAACACAGTAAGAACAACAGTCAGTCAACCATTGGTCAGTTTATTATACTTTCTGGTTTAAAAAGACACGTCAGCAAACGCTAGGACATATTTATTAGAGTTGTCGGTATCAATTACCAACGTTTATATCACTACGCTTCTTAAACATCACCAGAAGAAATGGAAAAATAAAGACAGACGCAGTATAATGTGATCCTTTATTGACAACGTTTCGCCCACACAATGGGCTTTACCAAGTCACACTGTCAATAAAGGATCATATTATTCTGCTTATGTGTTTATTTTTCCACTGTGTCGGTATTTTATATCATTTGTTTCCACCAGAAGATATTTTATCGATATTCTTGTGACTTATTCTAGTGAGCAGTTTCCAGCCATACTCTTGTTTTTGCTACAACTCTGGTAAATAATCTATCCCCGTCTGAGTATTTCGTATGTCGTTCTCATTTCACCCGGTTCCTCTTCTTCGTATAACTATAATTTTTAAAGAGGTGGACTTACCAGCAAATCAGCGGAAGATCTCGGTCAGATAACCAAAAGCTTCACCTGCGGGCCATCATATTACTAAGACCCAAGTCAGGAAACACTTGTTTCCTAACGAATCTTACCTAACCTAATTCCTCTTCGTTTTTCCAGTGACACTTGCAGGTTGCAGTCTTGATGCAGCTAGTAAACACGACAAGCTTCACTTGTCGTGTTTACCACCTGAGGGATTTACACTGACATTGTATGTTCAAGAATGGTAGCACATATGTGGAAAGCAAAATATTTGAACAAGTCTTTGCAACAAGTCTTTGCATAGATTCAAAAATGCTTCTCTTGTGTTAGTGAGATTATTCTCTGCTGCTCATTTTTTTTTTGCACACTTCAGGTGACAAGCTGTGGGTACCAGAGTTTTTTTCCCATCTTCAACTCTCTTCCTACACCTTTAAACTTTATTTTCTTACGAGTTAAATTAGAAAAAAAAATAATCCAACTATTCTTGAAGTCTGTTTAAGCATTCTTGCAGCTTTCTGTAATCCTTAGTCAGGAAGCAACATGTAAATTACATAGAGTAACACAAGAAAGTCAATATGACTTATTTCCATTTTTGTTTTATCCACAGGCAGATATATAGGAGTTAATTCCCGTAATTAAATTTTAATATACACCACAACTATTCTGGGTCACAACAATAATTCCTGTGGAACTCCACATGTTTACATTTTTCCTTATTGTTTGTTTCATCGTTTATAGTTGAAGAATGAATCACAGAAAAGAACGATCTTCTCTGTTGAATATTGAGACACTTATGCAACATATGGGAAACTTTATTGAAGAAACGTTTCGCCACACGGCTTCATCAGTCCAATCCAAAGCAGAAAGGTGTAAGAGGAGGAGGAGTGTGAGGTAATCAATCCCTCAGTCTGGAATCGATGTGTTCAGTCCATCAATCTTGTATGTTGCATGAGTGTCTCAATCTTTAACTTGTCGGTTTTCTATAACATTTACATCACATCCCGTTATAGTGATTGTTTTCTGTTGTTACGATATACCTTTATCCGTGATGTCTTCCGTTTTATTCAGGTTATTTCTTCAGTTTATTAAGCTGTCTTCTGTGTGGTACATCAAAACTTTTCCTACAGTCAAGAAATGTGAAGTTTACCCATCCATCTCTTTCCTGTCTGACCTCTGTTTGCCTGACACAGAGGCTCCCAACCTGTGGTCCACGGACCACTGGGGTTCCTCTAGGGCAGTACTGGGAGTCCGCAATGGTAGTACTGGGGGTCCGCTAAAGTATTACTGGGGGTCCACTAAGGTAATACTGGGATTCCACTAAGGTAGTACTGGGGGCCCGCAAAGGTAGTACTGGGATTCCACTAAGGTAGTACTGGGGACCCGCAAAGATAGTACTGGGGGTCCACTAAGGTAATACTGGGGGCCCACAAAGATAGTACTGGTGCTCCACTAAGGTAGTACTGGGGGTTCGCAAAGGTAGTGGTAGTGATGGTGTATTGCGTATTGTGATTGTATATCATGATTGTATATCCTGAAGCAGTAAACCCGGTGGAGGCACACTCCTCCGTCCTCAAATGACACAAGAGTGTAACTAGAGTATTGATGTCCCACAGTGTATCTGGAGGTGGACCCGCTGGGTGGACCAGTCAGGGTGACGGTGGACCGCTCCGGTAAGGTCATGGACCGATCCTGGATAATCAAGGTGACACAAATCACCTGTGACTCGCAGGACAAAGGTGAGTACATCTATCCCTTCCCCTACCTCCTGAGAGGCGGCTATTCCCAGGTGACAGTAACTGCAGCTCTGCTGGAAGACAATTTCGGAAGGTGTCGTAGCTGATGAACCTTTAATGCAATACTTGACGATATCCTCATTTACCTACTGAAGTCTCCCAGCTCAGGCTGACACTACTGAAGTCTCCCAGCTCAGGCTGACACTACTGAAGTCTCCCAGCTCAGGCTGACACTATTGAAGTCTCCCAGCTCAGGCTGACACTAATGAAGTCTCTTAGCTTAGGCTAACATATTTAAATGATTGATATGTTAAGCCCATTCTGTGTAATAATAATAATAATAATAATAATAATAATAATAATAATAATAATAATAATAATAATAATAATAATAATTTTATTTTGACATGATACAAGGTTGTACAATAAATATAATAGTTGGGTGTACATGCCAAAAGCCTCATCACGCACGAACATAAAGTCAATTATCATTTCAAAAGTAAATTTTGGTGCTTACTGTTTATAACCTCATGTTCCTTCGCTATTCTTCTCCATGTTTGTTTACGTACGGTGTCAGCACCTAGCGGATGTCTGCAGTACTACACCACCACCTCCGGCACCGTCAGTAGTTTCAACTTCAACACTGATCCCACAGTCTCGTCTTCAGGTGAGTCGTTGCAGCTGCTTTTGTTAGAGCAGCTAGGCAAGGACTCAGTGAATGTATATATATATATATATATATATTATATATATATATATATATATATATATAATATATATATTAATTATATATATATATATATATATATTATTATATTGTAACACTTAGATCATTCTAACCCTGCAACTTAACTAGTAAAGTGACTGAACTTTGTTCAACACATAGGTTTCCTCAAGGAACTGTTTCCTGAAGTGAATTGTTGTGTATCTCCTAGCACCGTGGATGAGGGTACTCTTGTGGAGTCACACTGCATGCTAACACAGTGCTGCTGTGATCCTGCTAGCACCACTGACCACATTACTTCCATAGGTCACTATATATACTGACACTGTATTGTTTTTTTCAGGCCAGATTGCTGATCTGGACTACGGGGTGTGTGTGAAAATGGCTGACGGATACTGTGGCATCATCTGGGAGACTAACTCAGCCTCTGGTGACAACTACACCTTCACTCTCACCGGCAACGTGGATGCTATCGATCAAAATATTATAGGTAAGTGTTTTAAGTACATAAGAATAGAGGAATCACTGCAGCAGGCCTACTGGCCTATACTAGGCAAGTCGTTCTCAAATCCACTAGCAGAAATATTTTGCCCAACCCATTTTCAATGCTACCTAAAGAATAAACTTTGATAACCCTCTTAACTAATGTTCTTTAGGTCAGCGGGCCGTTTCTTTAGGCAGTATTTTATAAAACCGTTAGTGTGGAATCTATAGTCAATGCCTCAACTGGTGTGAGTACCAGAAAATACCACCAGTGCCTCAAATGACACCAGTGCCTTATTCGCAGGTACTCCAGCAGCCGCGACTTATGCCAGTGAATGTACTAGCGATTACGTGATGATCCCTGGAGGTGTGGACGATACTGGAGTCTCCAACGACCGCTACTGTGGCCTCGGCTTCCCTAACTCTGTCACTTGTAAGTCACCAACTGTCACCTGTAAAATCATAAACCGTGTCACTTATAAATAATCAACCATGTCATGTCTAAGTCACCAACTGTGTGACTTATAGGTTCTTAGTTCCAAGGTCACAGTCCGGGAACGCTATAAGTGCTAGACTATGTAGTCTAGACTATACTGACTCACAATAAGGCCCCCAAAGGGTGAGCTGGAAGTAGAGATAGAAGAAGAGAAGAGGGAGGAGAAGAAAGGCTAGAGATAAAATAAATGAAAAAATGGCCCGGGCTACACATAGCAACAAAAGAATCATGTGGCAGAATCAGTGTTTTCACTTCCTAACAGTTCATAAAGGGTCGGGGTCAGGAAGACAAGATGGCTCACAAAATGAAAATAAATAGGCTATCCTTTCACCGTCCAGAAACACACGTCAGATGGCTATTACAGTGATGTGGTAAAGATGGAGAATTGAGGCAAAGATGATGTAATTAGTCCATTGCAGACGATAGTAATAATGTTGGTAGAATTGCCAACAATATGTTAGGTAAAAGGACACATTTGCAACTAGTGCAACATTTTATTGTGGCAACGTTTCATTCTCTAAGAGCCACTTGACAAAGCTCCTGGAGAGCGAAACGTTGCCTCAATAAAATGTCACATTACATGCATCCGTGTCCATTTACCTAACACATCTCTTCATACCATTAACCTCTTCAATTTTCTAGGCATTTCTGTATCCATTTCACCACCGTCCACGTTACCCATGACTGTTCTTCCACTTTACACATCAGTTTTTATTGTACAACTACATCAAATGCTTCATAATTGAAGATACAATCTACCAACATTATCTTTATTTTTTAATGGTTTAAAAAACCATCAAATAGTTGAATAAGACAGCTGTATAACACTTGGGAATCTTCAACGAGAAAATCACCAACTTGTGGCTTCGTCAGCACTCAGCTTAGAGATAATGTGTTAAGTCTATTAGCTTTGATATATTTTCGGCACACGCACGAGGAAGAGGTTTATATACTGGAGATAGGTGAGGCGAAGCAGTTGGAGGCAGTGTCACAGGTGGGCAGAATCAGAGATAGGTGAGGCGAAGCAGTTGGAGGCAGTGTCACAGGTGGGCAGAATCAGAGATAGGTGAGGCGAAGCAGTTGGAGGCAGTGTCACAGGTGGGCAGAATCTTATTCACCAATCTTCTCTCCCTCCCTTGCTTTATTTCCATCACTATCATAGAATGCCAAGAAATTCTTGAGACAAAATTTCCCTCTCTATAAATTGACCCCCTCAAGGAAGGTTCCTTGATGTTGGTGAGGGGCTCTTGATTTAGGGAATTGGATCTGTGCTCCAGTTCCCCGAATTAAGCCTGAATGCCTTCCACATCCCCCCCACCAGGCCGTATAAATCCTCCGGGTTATCACGATTGCCCGTGATTATAATAATAAATAATATAATTATCATTGCAGATTTGTCTAAGTAATCATTATTAAAGTGCCAACATCTTGCTTAAATAATTTTCACTAGTTGCATTTATAGTCTAAACGTTTCATTCTAAAATGTGCACACTTGACCAACAGACTCCTTCAGATCGAAACGTTTTTGCCTCTCATAAATTGTTAAATGCATCATACCTTGTCTCCATTGACGTAACACATACTCTTCTTACTTAACTCTTCAATTTCTATGTGCTATTTCTGTACCTTAACACCGTCCCGTACTAATGCCTATGTTCTTACTTTACATCTCCATGTTTTTATTGTCAACTACATCAAATGCTCTAATTGAGATTTGCCTATCTACTAACATCTCTCTTATTTTTCTATTGTTTATAAAATCCACTCAAAGTAATGTTGTATGTGCTTATTAACACTTTGGGAATGTTCACGAGAAAATCACCAACGTTGTGCCTTCGTCTTAACACTCACTTGAGATAAGTGTTGTCTATTGTCTTATTAATATCGCTCAGTACGAGGATGGGGTCTTATTATCTACTTGAGTATGTTGAGGCGAACATCATTTGAGGAATGTTCACATGTGGCTACTAAATCATACTATGAGCGAATGCATTGGCCATGTGTCCATGGCAACATTCCATGAGGAATGTGAGTGCTTACTTAACATTCTCACGTGATGTTGCAGGTATTCTTATTCCCATCGTGATTCCCTATTGCTTTATTTACATCCTCTCATAGGAATGGCCTATGAGATTCTCTCCTCAGACGAATGTTCCTCTCTATAATTACCCCCTCAAGGAGGTTTCCTTGTTTTGTTAAGGCTCTCATTAGGGAATTTGATCTGTGTCTTACTTTCCCCCGAAATTGCCTAAATTGCCTTCAACATCCTCCTCCAGGCGTGAATGTCCTCTGGTTTCTAACATCCTCCCACTTGAATGTTGCTATGTTTATTAAAATTTCATAAATGTGCTATGTGTCTACTAACATCCTCTACTTAAATGTTCATTATCTTCTTAAATTTTCTGAATGATGCCTTTGCTTATTTATAATCCGAGTGAATTAGCTAGTCTTCTTAAAATTTTAGTGAATGTGCCTATTGTACTCTTAAAAATCTCTCATGCGTGTGTTTGTTTGGTCTATGTTAATCATTGGTGAAGGTGCATAAGTACCTTATAACTCCTCCTCATGACGTGAATGTTGCCTATGTGTCTTATTTAACATCCTCCTCATGACGTGAATGTTGCCTATGTGTCTTACTTAACATCCTCCTCTTGACGTGAATGTTGCCTATGTGTCTTACTTAACATCCTCCTCATGACGTGAATGTTGCCTATGTGTCTTACTTAACATCCTCTTGACGTGAATGTTGCCTATGTGTCTTACTTAACATCCTCCTCTTGACGTGAATGTTGCCTATGTGTCTTACTTAACATCCTCCTCTTGACGTGAATGTTGCCTATGTGTCTTACTTAACATCCTCTTGACGTGAATGTTGCCTATGTGTCTTACTTAACATCCTCTTGACGTGAATGTTGCCTATGTGTCTTACTTAACATCCTCTTGACGTGAATGTTGCCTTTGTGTCTTACTTAACATCCTCCTCTTGACGTGAATGTTGCCTATGTGTCTTACTTAACATCCTCCTCATAACGTGAATGTTGCCTATGTGTCTTACTTAACATCCTCCTTGACGTGAATGTTTCCTATGTGTCTTACTTAACATCCTCCTTAACGTGAATGTTGCCTATGTGTCTTACTTAACATCCTCCTCATAACGTGAATGTTGCCTATGTGTCTTACTTAACATCCTCCTCACGACACCTAAGGTGATGAATTAGACACATGTACAACATCTGGGTATCTTTATTTGTAGACATAGTTGGCAGACAGTAGAACTATATACAAAAGATAAGGTAATTAGTCCCTCAGTCTTGGAGCTGGTGAAGAGCACCGTAGTCTTGAAGAATCTGTATACTGGCGTCAGGTGAGGGAGGTGCGGTAGAGGAAGACATTGTCACTAGTAGGCGGGATTACCCAGTGGAAATAGGTTATACCCGAGGGATGGACCAGTAGTAAGCAAGAAGATCAACACCATGCCCAGCCCTTCTAGGGTAGGGTAGGTGCCTGAGCCAGAGCTTGCAGCTCACAAGACTGTCATTCCCATTAGCCCCCTTGGGGCGGGAATGGCAGACCAGAGAGGCCTAGCTTGTGGCTAGGCCTGGGGACAGTTGGTCTCAAAGATGAGGAGGTACTTGTACCTCCTCCCATGGCAGACTTAGGTCTGTGATGAATGGTTTGAAAAACCGACAAGTTGAAGATTGAGACACTTATGCAACATATGGGAATCTTTATTCAAGAAACGTTTCACCACGCAGTGGCTTCATCAGTCCGATACAAAGTAGAAAGGCGTAAGGAGAGGAGGAGTTTGAGGTAATCAGTCCCTCAGCCTGGAGTCGATGTGTTCAGTCCATCAATCTTGTAGAATGTACAGTATATAAGCCACGTCTACGGCCCTATGCTGTACATTCTACAAGATTGATGGACTGAACACATCGACTCCAGGCTGAGGGACTGATTACCTCAAACTCCTCCTCTCCTTACGCCTTTCTACTTTGTATCGGACTGATGAAGCCACTGCGTGGCGAAACGTTTCTTGAATAAAGATTCCCATATGTTGCATAAGTGTCTCAATCTTCAGACTTAGGTCTCAGACACTCCCTAAAGAGGGAGCCAAGGCCGGGCCACCACTTGGAAAAGGCCCGGGCCGGGAGAATACCGGTGAATCTTTAATAATAATAATAATAAGCAAGAAAGTTATGTAGATGTCCTCTGAACCAGGATTCCATGATGTTGCTGTGTCTGACAAGTTGTACGTAAATGGTATACAATACCGACAAGATGACGAATTAGACACATGTGCAACATCTGGGTGCTAGGTGCTCTCCACACCAACTCCAAGACTGAGGGACTGATTACCCCATCTTTTGTATATAGTTCTACAGTCTTCCTATTATGTCCTTGAATTTATATTGATAAAGCCACTGGATAGTGAAACGTCTACAAGTAAAGACACGCTGATGTTGCACATCTTGTCGATATCGTATACCAATCATTTACAACTGCAAATATGCCTGACTAAACCATAAATTGTGTTCATTTACCTTTAAACCCATAAGGTTAAACAGCTCGTGAGAAATAGGAAGACTTGGTCCAATCAGATTTGACGAAGAAAGACGAGATAATTTACTGTATCGTATTGCTTCTAATTAATATAAACGAGCTGTAATATATGTATATGAAAGGTAAGTTTGTATAACGCTATTTCTGTTATTTCAACCCATTATGTCCTTATTTATTTCACAGGACGATTGAATGCAAGGCACACTTTATTATTTAATTACCACCAGCGATACGTGACCAGTGTGGTCATACGGAACCCAGGATTTAGTCCTAACTTCCCAGTTTATCCAACTGTTACAGTGTTGTTTTAATTACTATGTGACCCAGTGTTGTGTTCTCACTACTGTGTGACCCAGTGTTGTGTCACTGCTGTGTGACCCAGTGTTGTATTTGATGTGTGGCTCAGTGTTGTGTCTCATTTCTGTGTAACTCAGTGTTGTGTCTCATTACTATGTGACCCAGTGTTGTG